CCAACAAAGCAGGTGCATGTTTTTTGGTCCGTCTTGCAAGCGACTTCGAGCTGTTGCATGACCGATTCGCATCGCCCAATACCGCGGTGCTGCAGCTTGCAACACACGTGGGCACTGACTGGCTCAGACTTGGCATCCACAGTCCCAACCAGTCTAACAAATGTGTTTGCAACAGTCCGTCTTTTATGCCAAAGGAGCTTCTTGGTGTACCAACTCTATCATGTCTAGCCACCCACAAAAAGATACAACAAGAACATATGTTGGAAAACAATTTGTATCCTTTTCGATCATCCAACAGCACTGGTGCCTTAAGCGCTTCAGCAGTCGGATCTCCCTCAGCGAGATGCGAGGAAATCCTTCCTTCTCCGCATGGATTCGCACCTGGATCCAGCCAAGAAAAGTGTCGCTGTTGCAAGAATCCTCCAGAATGACAAGGAAAAAAAACGTAGAAAAAATAGATGAGTGAAGATGCGTGGTTGCTTCTCATGCCTGTTCCATCAAATCGGTATCCTCACGTTGTCACCAGCGAATGGAGATTTGGATACACACCCAACCAAATGTGGGAGCTACTAGTAACAAGAACCTACTAGCGATGACCTCCAACCTAGAAGCGATGGCCTCCAACCTAGTAGCGATGACCTCCAACCTAGAAGCGATGGCCTCCAACCTAGTAGCGATGGCCTCCAACCTAATAGCGATGGCCTCCAACCTACCAGCGATGGCCTCCAACCCAAGAGCGATGGCCTTCAACCTAATAATAGCAATGGCCTCCAACCTAGTAGCCTGGCCTCAAACCCAAGAGCGATGGCCTCCAACCTAGTAGCGATGACCTCCAACCTAGAAGCGATGGCCTCCAACCTAATAGCGATGGCCTCCAACCTGAGAGCTATGGCCAGATTCTGTTGGATGCCACATTTCACAGTGTGCCATCTACTTCACCAACAACACGTTGCCATCTGGCTCACATGTGAGGCCAAGGGAACTCTACCAGAACAGGACATTTGGACCAACTATGGCCATTTGGATCCAAGCGCCTCACACCCATATGGACTTCATTCATCATTCATATCAGTACATCAGTTTATAGTTTTGTTGTTGTGGTTCACCTGCGTTTCACCCAAGGTTCTCAAGATCCTCAAAATACATTTTTGGGGGGTAGCTTTACAGGGTATACGTGGCATAATGAATGCCACAGACCGACGACTGTTTCAGCTCGGCTGTGCCAACAGCGGCGCCTTCTTCAAAGCCACGATGTCACCCGTCTCCGTGTCTCTGGCACGATAGACTGTACCATACGTGCCTGAAACACGGCTTTTCGATGTTGGCGGTCAGGAAAACACGATCATCTAAACTGGTAGAGGCCCTCTTGTGCCAGGCCATCTGTCCTTTGGTTTGCGTGCCTTCGCCCAAACGATTGAGCTTTTCGAAGACCTCCACGCCTGGTCACATGTCTCTGTCTTAACAACAGAGTTGAAAGGAAAAAGAGCCGTCTCAAAGCCGTGTAGTCCTATGCTGGTCACGAATCATGAATGGCTTCCCACCAGGGACAAACTCCCAGTCAAGAACACTGTCACATTTGTTTGTTGCATATATTGTTACATCATCTCCTTGCCAATTCACCCAACTGCTTTGACAGAAAAGGAACATCTGTCCAATGTCTAAACCAAAGTTCAAAGAGTACACCGACGGGTGAAGCCGATGTCCCAAGACTTCGAAGCCACCGGGGCAGAAGCGGCCCGCCATGTGTCCCACCTCGACATCGGCCCAAATAGCCACTGGGCGTCATTCACCCATTGCCACGTTTGGGGCCACGCTGCGAAGGAACTTAGATCACTTATATAGACATAGATTAAAATGTTGTTTCTTGGGGGGTGTCTTTCAGCTCCAAATGTTCTATTCCAAAGCTGATAAGGCGAGTTTTACTGGTCATGAGTCATGAGGAACTCTTCACTATTCTGAACCCATGAAGAGTTTCCTCATGGCTGAGATCTTAACTGCTTGGGATCTGAATTGCTTGAGATGGAACAGCTTGAGATGCGAAGGTGGGGCCTGTTCCGGAGAACACAGATTCGCAACTCTTGAGAGGCTTTCTGCAACCGCAGGGTGCCATTCCAGCCAGGTGGGTGGTCTTTCACTCTTCTCCCTTCCTGGTCTGACAGAGAAACCGGTGTATTGAGCATTGAAGAAACCTGATTGCACTCTGATCGGTTGAAAGACTTTGCCGTACTTTGGCCTTTTTGCATTCACACTGATTTCAGTCGCAACACATCTAGCCAAATGCATCTGCACATGCAGGGGGCATGGCTTCTCGTTTGGCTTGCCAAATCCAAGACAACACCATCTCTGGCTAGCACCAGATTACGTACCTTGTCTTTTCCAACAAAATATTGTAGGTTGAAACATGCCTAGGCTCTCTAAACTTTCCACTATGCTAGTGATCACACAAAGCTGGTCATGTGGCCTGCACCCCCAGTTCTTGAGCCCGGTCCCTCTGTTCCGTTTAAGTCACTACTATGGGGGCAGTCAGGAAGGATGCCCACAACACTGCACCAAAATGGAAAGAATTAAGACTTTGGATGTACCTTCTACTATTTACTATCAATAGCATAGCCGTCGCCATCCATCGCTCACAGTGTGTTCACTGCAATATTCAGCGGAAGCCCTGCGTCATGCAGCCAACTACGGCTCACACTCACAGGTTTGCAGCAACCTCCGACCAGGCTCTTTAGTGCTGGACTCTCACGGTCAACTCTGGTCGGGATCGGGATTGGATGAAACTGATAAATAGGTCCCTTGCCCCTCAAAGCAGTTGCCTGCAGTGGCTTAGGTCTTGCCACTCTTCTTGGATTCTAAGTGTATACCCCATTAACCAGAAAATCATCTCATCTACATGTACTGGATCTGTGGGAATGGAAAACGTACAAGGTATGGGGACCCTGTCAGCCTATAGATAGCCACATCGCTCTTGCCTATGTTCAATTCCAGATCTCAACCTGAAGACCCTAGCTACCGAAATATCGACAAAATCTCTGTGATAGTGGTATTCCGCACCTCGGCATACCTGTATTGACCCAAATAAACATGTCTCTTCCGTCCAAATCGTCACCACCTTCAGGACTCTCCAGCAGTTCACAACACCAACACAACACCATAAAATGTGGATGGGCGTTGTGTGCATGTGAAACAAGACAGCCTATGGTAGCGGTTTCAGATGGATCTTCGTCCTTCAAAATCAATCCCTACGTACTCCCCAGCTATGAGAACTGACGAATGACGAAGGGACAAAAGTCTAACGCTTAGGGTCCGTTCTGGTCCATATGGGTCACGCAATGACGTGATACCGAGCTTCACTCCGTCCCTTGCAACCCCCCAAACATTCCAGCGGATTCGTTCGTGCTTGTCTTGGCCATTTCCTGTCTGCGGTTATTCCTGTGAAATGGATGATTTCAAACACGTCCGCACCTCTCAAATTTGTACATCTGGACCAATATCAAGAACCTCATCGCTGATGGGAGAGGCTCAAGGCTGTCAAGGTCTTTTTCTTTAAAAACCCAGGGGCGAGGGGTACGCCGTAAGGTCGCTACTCAGCTTAAGTAGCGGACTCGGACGCAAGAAGGCTCAGGCTTCCTCAAGGAAGCCCTCGCACTATAGATTTGGAAAAGCTTATATAACTTAGCTTTAACTCTTAGACTTCTACTTTTCTACAGACATGTACTAGTTGATTTGGTCACAGCTTTGTTCCCTGGGACCGGGTCATGCTTGTTCGCAGCCTTCACCTCGGCTTGCTGCAAATTAGCCAGAGAAAGTGGCCGCCATACCAATCCGTCCCCTCCTTTTCCTAACTCGTGTATGGTAATGGCTCAAAACCCGGAAACCTCATGACTGATTCCAACATGCTGTTCTTGGGTCTTCTTTTCTTGAGGCACATGATCACATGACAAAGGCTCAACCCCTCGGCATCCTGGATGAGTTCAGTGATTTTTCCGCCCAAACCGAAACATCCACGGATCGAATTGGATCGTGTTCTGGGGCTTCAGACCTGAGGCTGGAATGCCCAATAATCCCACCTGATCACACTGGTTGCAGGTTCCAGAAACAAGAAACCCAAATTCCGTCGAAACTAGACTGATTAGACTAGGAGCCGAACGACTGAAAGTCCGGTAGAAACATGGCACAGCACGACCCGATGCCTGAGGATCTTCGAATCAATTCGGTGGAAGATGTATGCAGTGTCCTGGCATCAAAGGTCTTTGTGTCCTTTTCTTAAAGCCAGCAGGTAGGACGCTGGAAGAGGTAGCTATAGTAGCTATTAAGTAGGACGCTACTATACCCAGGATAGCTTACGCTTCTATTCATGTGGTTCATAGTGAAATTTATATAACAAGTGTCGCAGAAACGGTTTGAAACTCTCTCGGGCCAATGCACTGGAGGTTAGTTGTGAATGCAAAATGAGACTTATTTAAGTCACATCTCACATATTCATTTGATGGAAGCAACATCGCTCAAACTGGGAAGACGGTTCATATGTTTTGTCGTTCATCTTAGTGAATTCGCAACTCAAGAACATCAAGAAAAGGGAACTTTGCAAATCAGGTTTATTCTAACCCTCAGCAACATGTTGGAGCAATTTTACCCGTCCTCAACCACTGGGTTGGGTGTAAAGACTTCTACGCAGATGTCGTACAGCACCGCAACCTAGAGGTCGGAGACAAAGGGAACAGATCGTCAAACAGTTCATCTGCCCTTGCCCAAAAGGGAAACGTGTGGATGCGTAAGCAGCTTCAAGCGAACATATATGTGAGATACACTTCTGATCACTGATTCGATGTACTGACGACAAAGCATGTCAAAATGGCGCTGAAGTGCCCAATCTGTTGGATTCCGATACGTCCTTGTTCCCAGTAGCGATGCCAGGAGCCCCTAGTAGCGTCTAGTAGCGTCCTTGTTCCTAGTGCTTGAAAAATGGGATGTTTGATCACAATTGCTTTTTGACGACCCTGGGAAAGGCCATGCTCCTTGCAATCAAGAGGTCGTGGCCCTGGAGGATCACTCCCAAAATCTCTGCGACATGTTAAGCGGTTTGGGTTTGATGGCTCAAATCACCAGATTGTCAGGCCCGTGGCATGACGAAGTCCACTTCGACCGAAAAGAAAGATTTCTGTAACCAAGTGCCAGGCTTCCCCCCGCAAAAGGTCTGAAAGGAACAGAGTACGGGGCCACAATGGGCCCTTCGCAGATCGAAATCCGATTTGTCGAGGTTCTTGCGTAAAGCTAGGGCCTCAGTTGTGCTCTTCTCTAATTTCCCTCACTTCAATGTCCAGAAGACATTCATACTGATACATTCTCATCCTTACCTTTTTGGAAGCTCTCACATTGGCATTGTTTGTTCATGTGTTTGTCCTGCGGATATGGCCCTCCTCAATTGCTTTGACCATAGTTAGCTATGCATCTCAAGCAGCACGAAACACAATCTGTTCATGCAGAACTTCGAGGATGATCAATTGTTCCTAGTAGCTTCTTGTTACTACTAGTAAGGCACTTGTTACTAGAAGCGATGCACTTGCTCCTAGTAGCTCCATGTTTCTTCAACTTCAACCACACCACGACACAATTGGCACAACACAACCGAAATGTTCCCCCGTTCCTTTTCCTGCGCGTCCCGTTGCGCGGCTTTGAAGCTCTCCCGAAGCTCGGGTGCTGTGACTGAGGCGAAGACCTCAAAAAGACGCGACAAACGAAGAAAACCTCGACGAAGTGAGTAGCAAATTATCTACCAGTAGCAAGCTGCATCGCTACCAGGAGCAAGGATGCTACTAGGGGCTCCTGGCCATACTACTAGTAACAAGGACGCTACTAGTAGCACATTAGCTCCACAATGGTTTTCCTCTGCCGGGTCCTTCATGGTCCTTTGGGTTCCGTGGATATCTGAGGAATTCTGAGGATCTGAAATCTGTGGATATCTGAGATCAACGTCCGCTGGTTGAAGACGTTGAAGCAAAGAACGCTGCAAGGACTTGAGATCGTTAAGATCCTTTACATGTGCAATTAGACTGATTAGAGGTGAGCCCGCCCACATGAGGTTCCTCCATGCTTCTCGTACCCAATTATGGTGATTTTGTCGATGTCACAACGAACCTTGGGAGTCGCTTCATGAACGAAATCCATCGAGTCGCAAAGAGAAAAGACGCGACTTTGTTTGAGCCATCCACCTTTCAAGCCCCGTGCATCACAGCCTTTCGTGCTCTTTCGTCCAAGATGCTGCATTGTATCCAAACTGATCAGCACGTAAAGACTTTGCTCCCATCTCCAGAAAGAGCATCAAGGCCTGTTGCCACTGCAAGCCTTTGCCACATGAGCTGATGGTCGCATTGTAGCCTGATTCCAAGCCCGCGGAGCGGCCCATGGGGCGGCCCGCGGGGCCAAAAACATGTCAATCTGCAATGCTTGTCATCTACGACTAATTGTCCCAAAACTCAGCACCATCTCCTAAAACAAAGATCCAAAAAAGAACATAGGGAAAGACGGGCCATGCAGCCAACGAGGAAAACGGGATTCGAGCACCCGGGATTCCAGGATTATTTTACCAAAATGCTTTTGTCAGGCGACCAGAATCTCTGCCATACTCCCTCGCATCCAGCGATGCCCTTTGCTACTAGTAGCTTCTTGTTACTACTAGTAAGCCAGGAGCCCCTAGTAGCGTCCTTGTTCCTAGTAGCGATGCCCTTTGCTCCTAGTAGCGTTCGCTCAACTGCCAAGGAACTGATGACATCGGGAGTGATCTTCATCTCGGGCATCTTCTCAAAGAGCTTCAAAGCAATCGGACTCTGATTGCCACGCTCACATGCGGTGATCGCAGCATTGAAGCCTGGCTATATCTAATATATATATATATAAAGGAGCGATCTTTCAAAACGTGCGTTGCTGAGGTTCAGTACCAAACAACCAAATACCCCGGTCAACCATAAGATGGTTTTACATCCTCGGTAGTATATTCTGTTCATTTTGAGGGATCCGTTCCCAACCTTTGTTCAAGCAGGTCGGCCTCCAACCTACTAGCAATGGCCTCCATCCTGAAGTAGGAGAGATAAAGGTGTGCTATGTGTCTACATGTCAAAGGTGATATGGGACCGCGATCACAATGACAACGGGAGTTTCCCATATCCTTGTTCCTTCGTCTGTATGCGCAGACCCCGGTTCTTCGCTCATATCATGCAAATATATACAGACCCCGGTTCTTGACTTGATGCCCTTTGCTACTAGTAGCATCCTCATTCTTCGGTCATACTGTATCATACTTGACCAGCTGGCAAAGAGTAAAAAGCTGTGCACCACTCCCAGCCCCAGAGATTGAAACTCTGCATTCCGCTGTTGGAACCGTTGTCGCATCCACCATCGTTCGCCAGTTTACGCAACAGCTTAGTCTGTTGGAAGATTGATATGGCCAATTCGTGGGTATGGGGAACCACACAACAAGCGACAAACCATTGGAAGTAATCTGTTGAACTGAATGGGAAGAAAACTCCAAACTTTCTATTCTCAACTGGATGAAGGATCTGGGAAGGATTGGGAGGTGTGTACCTTCAAACTGAGAGGGGTGCCTTTCGAGCAATTGTTGTGATTCAACCAGCTGTACCAGGAATTTGGAAGAATGCGGAAAAGGTCATGGCACCCGTTGCTACTAGGAACAAAGGGCATCGCTATTAGGAGCAAGGACGCTAATAAGTAGCTCCTGGCCTTACTACTAGGAGCAAGAAGCTACTAGGAACAAGAGAACCAAGCCAGCTTGAGAGGGAATGGGTGCCCAGGGCACCGTGCCGTCCCTCGGACACCAAAGGTTATATGTCCAGGCGTGGAGAGGTATTCTGATCTCTTCAGAGTGTCTCCTCCATTTCTCAAAAAGCTTGCTGATCTATAGACAAGCAAGCAATGCATGCAATGCTCAAAACCGACAGAATCAACCTCTTGGGCACACGAGGATCTGTTTGGTTTTCCTCGGTATGAGGTTGTTAGAAATTTGACCAGACCACATTATGCTTGTGCATTGCTACGCAACTACGCTCTATTCTCTGACCAAACGGATAGAAGCTTGATAGCTCAATCGATTCAAGCTATGCTTGAACCTATTGCTTTGTACGAAACCATCTTCAGGCCAAGAAGCTGATGACATTGGGCAAAATCTGCTTCTTCGGCATGTCCGTCAGGATCACCAATGCTCGCTGCCATTGCGCAGCCCTCTCACAGGCGGTGATCGATGAAGTAAAGCTGATCACGTCAGGGCTCACACTGTGGACAAACATCGACTCCCAAATGGCTGAAACCAAGCGCCATTGCCCCACCTTTGCACAAGCGCTAATGGATGCATTGTAGGTAAAAAT